AGTGTAGAATAAAGACTTCTTAGAAGAAACAATTTTGCTGTTCCTGTTACATCAACCTGCAAATTGATGTACCTAAATTTTTGCTTAAACACTAAGTATAAATTTTATTTAAGGAGCTAATTACCTTTGTAAAGATTTTCTTTTAAGAAGGTTGGGGTTTGCTTTTCTGGGCTTTTGTTGATGTTTTCACATATGTATTACTGAACAGACCAACTTTTTCAAATCTTGAAGGACACAGACCACTCCTCTGTTGTGCTCCTCATCACTGTGGGTGTGATACTGCATCCAGTTGTTGCACTTGAATATTCTGTAACTCTGACACCTTGATAGATTCACTGCTACTATCTTGCCTCACATTTACTGATGTTACAATATGTATTTCCTATTAAATCCATTATGTTTTCTGGGCAATTTGTTCTTTGTTTCCTTATGGGATTTAGACAGCAATAGGTGGTGAATGTCTCTTTTGCCACAAAGTTCTAGAAGTATCTGTCACAGCAGCAAATATTTGTAAGCAAAAGGGTAATTCATTAGCACAGCCTTATGAAACTGTTACAGCAGCTGAGACCTGTGCCATGACTGTATTTTACCACATAATGAAGGCTAAAAGCAAATTCCCCTGGAGGAGCAAGTTATTGTAAGGCTCTTCTGTATTTTAGCTTTATTTCTTGTACTTCCTCTTTCTGAAATTGTGTATCCAACACTTACATCGTGATGGGGAGTTGATTTAAGGCACAGAAATTGATTGATTTCTGTAGCTAAGATACTTAAGATTTCCTGGCAATCTTCCCACTTGTAGCCCTCCACACTGAGGACAATGAAGAAAAAAAGGGGTTTTTCTGAATTAGAAACTGCATTTGTTTGCCCAAAAACAACCTGATATGCATAGAGCTCTTGCAGTGTCATAAATGTTTGCCTGTGGAATGTGTTAAGGCTAACCTTTGTATCAGCAGCTCTTGTCACTCATAACAACATTCTGCCTTTTCATTCTAGGATGGGTTAACCTGTTACAAGGGTTGAAAGGTCTGTGCCTTCTTACGATATTATCTCTAACTAAAACAAACTTAAGCCGCTCAAAGTTACAGAGCATTTGCAGCACTGTAAACTGCACAAATTTCCACCCATTGCTTCACTGCATGAAGTGTAGTCAGATTACTCGTGATGAAATATTGTAGTGATGAATTCCCAAGCTTATGAATGTTTTGAGACTTTTTTTTAGTCTTCTCTTGGGCTGGTCCTGAGAGCGTGTACAGGTTTGTCTGTATTGTTGGTTTGTAGATGCTAATGAGGAAAACCAGGCTTTTGTTCTCTCCTTTTTGTTTGAGTCCTTACACTCCCATATAGTGCATAGAATGCAAATAAAGAAATGTTGATTTGATATAATGTAAACAGCCTTTTCAGCCTAAGCATTCATAATAAATTTTTATAGTGTAATAACATGCTAAATCACTACCAGTCTGATGTATTGTGCAAAAAAGAAAAAAGGTGTAAACATTTTATTAATAAAAAGCTTTGTTTATAAATATGCTGGCTTATTTATAAATGCTTCAAAATTCTCCCCATCTTAAAAAATGGTCTCTATAGCAATATAATTATTGAAGAGGAATGTAAGCAATAGCTTACATGTACAAATGACTGGAATAGCTGTTTTCCAAAAGTCCTGACTACTGGTGTTCAGAAACTGGAGCTTTTCCCTGGTTTATGTACACACAGACAAAGGCAGAAGATCCTGTGCAAAGAAGGGATGGGGGGAAACAGCAGAGAGAATGCAGCTTTTGTGTAACACTTCCTTTCTTTGCAGCACCGTGGCTGAGAAACTGCAGGCCACACACAGGCTTGTCAAGCAGGGCAAGGCCTGACAAATTCTATCAGGGCCAAGTTACTTAATACATTGCTTTTACCTTAGACTGCATGAACTGCACAGTTCTCAACTGCTTCGGCCAGGTTTCTGTCAATCAAAACTGTAAAGTGCTTTTAATATCTGCATAGTGTCGTGGGTCTGTTGTGCTGGGAAGGGATCTTCTGTTGTTTGTTAATACAGCCAGCTGGTTGGTAGATTGCTTTTTTTATACCACTGCTCTGTTGCTTATGTAGTCCTCAGAAATATGTATTTGGCTGCAGTTAGCTCACTTGTCTTACATGATATCTATAAGATGTGGTTTGCACATCTAATCTGTTGAGTTAATAATAGCCATCAAAATATAAATAAACAAAAAGTCCTGTTTCACATAAAAAGTTTGGGTACAAGTTTTTACTTAGCAAGTGGCTGCAGTTCCTATGCAGGAAACCCATACCATGTCATCTTTTGTTTGATAGAGACCTGGAATAATTTAAATTTCTTGTTACCTGCAATTTTGAAGTTATGCTCTTAGATGTGAACAAACTGCTTTTGAATAGTGTCAGATGGTTTTTCTAAGATGGCATGAATGTGCATCAGGGAGAGCAAAGGAAGGTAGCCACAAGGAACATTTGTATATGTTTGCATAGGGAGTCTGGGAACTAAATGCAAACCACCACCATTGTGTGGTTTGCATACACACAATGAGAATGTTTCACTTGGAGCAAGTCTTTCATAGCTTCTAAGGCAGAAATTTTGCAAGTGATGAACTTGTTCTTTAAAATTGTTTCAGTACAAAGCTTTCAAGTGCTGTCCAGCATTTCCCTGCAGTGTTCATCCCGATTTTCTCTTGTTAATCAAAAACCCATGTGGGCAAGAAGTTGCCTTGTAGTCTTGTGGCTGAATTGTTTCCAGGGAGAGCTGTCTGTGAAACAGGGATGGGGTATTGCAGGTCAGTGAATCTGACCTGAACAACATTAAATGTACACTCATTTTTTACATGCAACAAAAACCTGACAACTTACGTTCACTAGACTTCATAAATTTTCAACTTAAACAATGCTGTGCTTTATAAAACCTTCAGCCTGGATGAAAACGTGGGCGAGTCCTTCAAATACAAACAGGTAAGTTCAGAGCTGCCAATTAGGGCAAGGTGATACATCTTGGCAAATCCTTTAAGAGGTTGATCATAACGCTTCAGGGGCTTCTTTGTACTTCTTTCAGGAAAAGTAGAACTCGGGAAAGGTCTGGGCAGCAACACTTAATAGTTGTTTACTTAAGGGTTTTTATTATGCATGACTATATGTTGTGTAAAGCTTTCTCTCTTAGTCCTCGCCGTTAGGTCACAATTAACTTACTGATCTATATAAAGCTTGTCTTTTCTACTAATTACTGGTCCAAGAATGCCTGGCTTACAAAGAGAAGGTGTTTATAAAATAAGAGATTAGGTAAAGGAAAGTAACCTTCCCACAGTACCAGCCAAGAAGGCTGCAAAGTATGAGGGAACTCAATCCTCTCCTGACTTGAGATCTAAAATGTTATGACATAACCTGCAGTTTAGGCTAAAAATTACCCTCCCCTCCCCCCCACCAAGGAGCAAAAATAGTAAGACCATCCAAATCTAGTTTCCTGGAAAAGAAAATGCACCCCTTTATGATTTTATGTGACCATTCTTTCCCAAAAAAAGGAATTTAAGGAACAAGAGCACTATTTGAGTGTTTTGTCCTGCAGTGCTGAAGCTTTAAAAAAATCAGTCCTGTTGTCCTGGCTGGAAGGAGTTGGCAGATTTCACTTGTATCATGCAAAACTAAGGGTTTTGTACTAAATACAGGTATGGGTTTGGTTTGTTTTGGCATGGAATGAAAGACAACTGAGAACAAAAAATATGAAATTGGATGGGAGGTGGTAAAGCACATGAGCAGGAAAACAGAGATTGTGGTGGACAGGTGTGGTGTATAAACACTGCAGATGTGCTCAGAGCAGTGAATGCCACTGTCCTGCTTAGGGGTGTTAATTTTAACATACACATCACTCATTTGACATTGCTTTTAGTGCCAGAAAGGAGAACAATGCTCTTGCTGTAATTCTAGATCTTTTCAACTACCTTATGCAGTTTTGGCATTTATTAAGTCAAATAACGTGATACAAAGAATTTCCGTGAGGGAAAGGTGCACTGCATTATGTACATTATACTGGTGTGAAAAACGAATTTTCTTTGGAAGCTTTTTATTTCTGCAAATGGCATCTCCTCCTGAAGTCATGTATGTATAAAGTTCAGTATGTATAAAGTCCAATGAACACTTTTTACTGTACATAAACTCCAGTTTTTAAGACCAGCATATTTCTGCTGCTAACAAGGGCATCCCAAACTCCTGCCTCTGACAGGTTACAGCAGTGCTTTATAAATTCTTAGGAATTTGTCAAATGTTTAAAACAATCTGAGAGGAGCAAAAAGCTTAGTGTTGCTGTAATTACACTGGCCTAGGGCCATCAATAGAGCTGCACTATATGCTAAACCATGCTGTAAATTTCAAAAAACTGTTTTAAAACATTGGGGTAAAAACTAACCAACCAAAACTAAACACAAAAATAAAATTCCCAAAACACATCCACCACAAACCACCCCAAAACAAACATAAAAACCCCAACGAGCAACCCAAAACTTTAAGAAAGGGGAGGGGGGATGTCTTAAAATGTGAGGTGACCTGAAGTTCTGGGTTTATTCATTAAAAAGCGAGTATTGCCTGCGGCTCGATGCCGGTTCCCAGGGCTGCCCTGGCGCTGTAAGGCTGCGCCCCGATCCTTGCGGGCCCGGGAGCTCCTCCTTTCCCGGGAGCGCTTCCCGGGAATCCCGGCGGCGCTGGCAGCGGGCAGGGGCCCGAGGGCTTCCCCTGAGGCCACACGGCGTCAGGCCTACAGTAACACGCTGCTTCACAAGGCTTTTATTGCAAACCACGCTTTCCAGTGACCATTAAACTTTGCTGATGAGCCCTCTTTGTTCCCGAAACGCTCCGGGCTGGCACCCCCGGCCCCAGGAGCGCCCGAGGAGCGGCGGCGCGGAGCCTCCCCCCGCGGCCCCTCACGGCGGGGCCGGGCTCACGTCAGCCGCCGCCGCAGCCTCTCCGCGGGCCCCTCCGTGCTGCATCATCCCGCCTCCCGCCCGCCCTGCCCGGCAGCGTGTGCGCCGCCAGCCGCCGCCCGACCTCCGCCCGCGCCTGTCCCCGCTCCGGGACCGCCGGGGCAGCGCGAACAGCCACCCGGGCCAGGGTGAAACAGCACCGGAGCGACGAGCGAGCGAGCAGCCGGCAGAGGGTGAACCAGCACCCGGGCGAGGAGTGAACCCGCCAGCGGGCGCGCCCCCCGCTCGCCTTCCCTCCTCCCTCCCTTCCTCCTTCTCTCCCCTCTTCCTTCCCCTCCCTCCCCGTCCCTTCCTCTCTCCGCCTGGTGCCGCCACCGCCGAGGAGGAGGAGGAGGAACATGGCGAAAGCGGAGCAGGTCCTCAGCCTCGAACCGCAGCACGAGCTCAAATTCAAAGGTACGAGGCGGCCGCCGCCGTCCCTCGCCGCCGCTCCCGCGCCGGGCGGGCGGCGCGGCCGCGCTCGGGGCCCGCTCCCCGGCAGCCATTTTCCGGGGGCCGGGCACCGCCGGCAGCTAAAATGTCCTTCAGCGCCGCGCCCGCCGCCCGCCCGCGGGGGACCCCCGCGCCGCCCTCAGCGCTGCCGCAGCCGCGGCGCGGGGGGCCCGGCCGCCGCCTTCCCCGGGCGGCAGCGACAACACCGCGTGTGCCCGCCTGACCTTCCCGGGGGCGGCGGCCGGCAGCGGGGGACCCGCGGGACAGCGCCCGCCGCTGGGCTGCGCGCCCCAGGCCCCGCCGCGGGTCTGTGCGCGGCCCCGGCCCAAAGATCGGCGCTGTAATGTAGGACGGCGATGTCCGTGAGGCAGGACTGGGAACCCAGGTGCCACAAACCCTAGGAATTGATAAAGGGTTTCATCGAAAGACAAAATCGGGGAATTGCTAGCAGTGGAGCTGTTTAAATGTTCTGCGTGGCTCTTCGGTATAAAATCTAGACGGAGGCAGGATGTTGGGAATAAGATAACGAATAAGGGTTTTTTCTGTAATGTGTCCCAGGCGCTGTGGGGTTGCGATCATGTCTCTGGCCAAAAACGCGAGGCCTCTGGCCAGGTGCTGGGCGGCACTTCCTGGCTTTTCCTGCTTATTATTAGTATTATTATTATGATGATTTAGCAAGCTCTTTGGCTAAGTAAGTCACGAATAGTCTGCCTGTGCAAAAATCCATCTTTTAATTTATTTTAAAAAGTCTTGAATGGGTTTGGGCTTCCACTGGCATGGAAATTCCTGCCTTGCAGCCTGACAGCACAGCTGTAATACAATATTCTGGGATTGCAAATAAGCAATCAGCAAGTTTATTTATGTGACCAGAGTCAGAGGTGTTTTATAGCTTTGCTTAATTATCTGGCAAATAAGCTTTTTTTAAAAAATAGGGATTTGTTTATTGGCCTCTGGCAAAAATAATACTTCTTTAAAAAAAGCTTTCATGTACATTTTTAAATATAGAGGTAGTCTTTACCAGTTTTTATTAATAAATATATTTGAACTATTAATATGAAGTGAGTTTTATCTAACAGCCTGTTAATAAACACTGGGAGGAATGAATATATCTTTGTTGTAAGCTGAAGTTGTTATGGCAGCAGTATCAAGCATGCTTAAGAAGAAAACTATTGTTGTTTTGACGTTCTTTGTGTTAAGTATGATTAGATTAAAATCACCTCTTGTTCTGGACAAAATTGCTTTCAGTAAACAAGCAAACCCAAATCCAAGGTGGGCAAAAAGTGGGGCCTTAATTGGTGCTGACTTGCTAATGAGATGTAATTGTGGTTCAGGGTTTGTTTTTCTTTCTTTTCTTCATCACAGGTAGATAGAAACCTTGCCAGACTGTTTTTTCTTGAAGTAATGATAATTTGTCAGGCTGTCTTTCTTTCAGATGAGGTTCTGGGCTAAATAACTAGTGGCCATTGAAGTTAAATCAACTAACCATAGCGCTTTTGGTTGCCAGATCTTTAGCTAGTAACACATACTTCTTATAACATAAAATGCTGCTTGACTAACTGCAGCTATTAAATGGCTTAGTTTCAAAGTACACTTAAATATTAATGTTCAAACAGACTTAATGCTGTGGGCAGCATTCATATGCTTTGGCAATACCTCTGCCTTACAGTCCTTTCTAGCAAGCAGTGCTGACCGCTGTCCTTCATTCAGGAAACTCCAGGCTGAAGTATTCATGAAGTAAATTCTGCTCTAAGCCTTTCTTGCCCTGCTGATCTTGTGATGACATACTGCCTGGTGACAGGGCTGAAATGATATTGTTACCTTTGTAAATAGTTGCATTTATTTCCAGAGTGTTCCTTGGCCCTGTATAAGTACATCCAGGCTGACAGAGGTCATGGAGCTGCTGACTGGTACAAGCATCCTCATGATGTGTGCTGAAAGACATGGTGTTCAGTGTAAGAAACTGAGATTGGGCTGTAAACCAAATACCTGAAATGGTAAAGGGCTGAATCCAAATGCAGGCAGGTAAAAAAAGCAGAAAATTGTTCGCTCTGAGGCTGTTGAAAAGCTCTGTGTAGCTCTTTAGTATAAAATTTAGAGAGAGGTAGGATGTCGAGAATAATACCATGAATGAGGATGTCTTCTATAATGTGTGCCAGTCACTTTGGGGTTGTAACCATGGCCTGCACTTTTAGTTTGTAAGGGTTGAAGTCTATTTTAAAGAAGCTTTTGTAGCCCCTTGGTTTTGCAGTGAATCTCATAAATTCATTTGGTGCTGTGTTTCAAAATACTTGTGCTTGTGTCTCGTTTGAAAAAAAATATCAAAGGAGTTTTTCATGCTGGAATTTTTTTTTCACAGCATGTGAACATGAGCAGGGGTTGTCTTTCCTCCCGCCTCGCATCTCCTACAGCAGAGCACACATGCTCCAAAATAGCATCAGCGTGTGCTGTGCTGAAATGCAGCTGTGAGCCGTGGGAGGCAGGACACCATTAGGTGGCTGAAGGTGCCCACTTCTTGTCCTGGTCTCTGATACCATGTGAAATTGGAGCTTCACTGGCTTGCCAGTGACTTCCTCCACTTCTTGATCATTGTAGGCTTGCAAAAAAATTATCCAGCTAAAGGTTTACAGCTCAGCGTTTACTGGTATCAAATGGAAAAAAAGAACATTGTTGGTGGTATACGTGACATTTACATTTTCCCTTTCTTTTTTTTTTTTTCCAATCTAAGAGATGACATTAATCTGCCAAGAATTTGCTACAACATTTGGGATGCTGACTTTTTAAAAATTGCTAGGTTTAAACCTGAGCAAGGATGTGGAATTGTGCTGCAGGATGTCTCCTGCACCTCACAGAATAGCTGCCCACCATATGTGCCCACCAGGACTAGAGATTAGTTATTTAATGTTAGCAAGTAAAATGTTGTTAAAATGTAGCATATTTTAGGACTCCCCTGGTTTTGTAGTGTTTGAGATGCTGCTGCATGTTGCAGACATGGGGTGCTGAGGCAGTGTTGCTCAGTAGGGGTGGTACAAATGGGAGGTGGCGGAGGCTGAGGGACATTTTGGTGGCGTTTCTGGAGGTTTGCTCCAGGTTAGGCTGGACTTATGACTCAGCACTCTGTCCGTGCTCCCCAAGTGGCTCCCAGCAGTACTGCCAAGCAGGGATTAGTGCCTTGCTGAACTCTGCAAGTCGTGCCAGTTGGAAATGCAGGTTCCCATCCCCAGTATGTGAGCCTGTACCTGTGCAATATGTCACTGTGTAGCTTTGCTTTCTGCTAAGGGCACAACAGTGAACCAGAACAGCCGATCCTCTCCACTGCTGACAGAGCGGGTTCATCCCTGACCTGGGGCTGTCACCTGTCACTGGCTCAGGTGCACGCCCTGGCTACCTCAGAGCTGCAGCCCAAAGGTGTGACCTCAGTCTGTATAGGTGTACTCAGTCCAGCAGTGCATCCGCAGCATTGAAATGTTCATATTTAGTGTTTAGCCCCAGTCCTGTGCAGTTTGTGTGACCTGCATTTCCGTGGCCGGGTGGCTGCCACTCCCTGCTGAGACACTCTGAGCTCCTCCAGGTCAGCCTCAGTAAACTCCAGCCAGATCTGCTCGTTGCAGTGGGGGTGTGCAAAGCCTCCTGTGTCTGACAGGAATGGCCCATCCCTACCAGATACCAGGCTAAGGCTCTGCAGTCCAACAGGCCAGTAACATTTGGGATGTGAGATTAATGTTTGCTGAAGCTGCAGTTGCCAAGTCTTGGACGAGAGGTTAAGGGCATGTGGACTATTCACTTAGTCTCTGTCTCTGTCCTGATCCCTTGGAAATGGTTGAATCACTCCTGCACTGAAGGTATTGGGAGGAATTTGACTTTGTGCTTTTTCTCTTCTGTATTGGATAAATAGGAATTTCTAGTCACAGACCATGTTTAAGAATGTAAAATAGTGACATTATTGTGAGTAGTTGCCTGTTTATGATAATTAATATGCATCTTTGAAGCTGAACGTTTATGTGCTCTTTTCTTTAAACTCTTAGAGCCCTCCTGTTATTCACAGCAGAATGGCAGCCAGTACTAGGATTTCTTTACTCTTTGAAGGCTGCTGTGCCAATGGCTGTCTGCTTTCCTGCTGAAAAATGTACCAGCCCTTGCTTCCCTTTGTCTGGCCTGATTCCAAGTCAAGTCATTGTTACCGCATTAAATACAAGTAAACCTTTGCATCTCTCTACATATTTGAATTATCAAATCATAGTCTTAAAAAGAGGACATAGTATTTAAATAACAGGCAGGCTTCCTAAATCTGCACAAATTTATCCTAAAATATATCCCAATTTTATTAAACAAAATCAGTCGTTTTCTGGTGCAGTTCATGTTGCACTCACATTTCTTGCAGCTTAGCTAAAATCAATAACTTATTCTTATTAAATGTTTGTTTAGTTGCACAGACTTGCTGAATCTCAGTGAATTACTCTGATTTCACATGCTCTGTTGGTTTTATAATTAATTCATCACTTTGCATAGTCACTTCACTTTAGAGGAGAGGTGTTAGGAGGGAAAAAACTGGAGGTAAGGGAGGATAGTGATGCATTTTGAATTTCTTATAACACATCTCTTTCTTGAAAAGTGGAATAAGTTGAAGATTGTGCTTCTCTTGAGCTTTCTTAATCTCCTGATCTCCTGTGCACTGGAGACACAATACTCAACAACTCCACTGGTAAAGGAGAAAGGAATTGTACACGTGGGACCAACAAAATTTGAAACTTTGAATAGGATGGTTGGAGCACCAAAAAACAATTGAGATGTGTGAAGCAGTCAAGGAGGTTTAACTGCTTTTTCTGTTAAATTTAATTAATGTATTTAGGTCTCCCAAGACTATTTCCAAAAATACCACAATCGCCTTGAAGGCTTTGGTCAATGTGATTTATGGGTTAAGGTCTTTTGAATAATTTTGTGCTGCACAGATTTTAAGAATTCCAGTT